ACAAGCTACCAAACCACATATTAACTAATGACAATCTTCATATTGCTACTATCCTTCAAATGCCAATAAGACTTTTCCAAACGATTCCTTAATCCCCTGTTAAGTCTATGAACACTGCCAGCCACCTGATCAAGAAGAATGTTGTCTAAAATTTTTAAAAACCACTCTGCCAACATCGGATGGGAGCTTTTAACGTCATTTCTAATATTTTCCATATCTCTGGTAATGGCTTGCCACTAAATAAATCTGTTTGACAATTAGGAGCGACTTTATTGCATATCCCCTCAATGACGCATGTCGCTATGTTGCTTTTGGTTTCAAGTGGCCAAATGATTATGTGAACGCTGGCTAGCTATCAATGCAAACCTTTGGTATATACGTGAAAGTAGTGGTTTTTAATCCAACGTCATATTGGAGGAAATAGAGTACTTGTGCAAGGATTACAACAAAATAAATTTTATGTAACGAATCACGCAAAAATGTAACGCAAACGTTGAACGTACCGCGTATCCAGACGACCTTAATTATAAACTCATCAATTGAAGACAAATGCATTCAATGGAAAACCCTAAATATATCTCCAGAAGGTAGTTTAATCGGGCCAGCATTCTTAAGGAATTCGCTTCTGGGGGCGGGGGGCTTAGCCGATGTAGGGTTTCTAAAACTCAGGACTCTGCGGTAACTACGAAGTAGTTATTGATTGAGGCATTCAGAAGGAGGAGTCAACTGAGCAAGGATATGCCATTTTCATGATTTGTTAGGCTCTCCTGACATACTGAAAGATATTGAGTTACGGATGCGTTTCCGTGCACTTGACTGAGTTTCACGGTTTAACCTGCCCACCACAGTAATTTTCAAGAATTAAAATTCAAACCTTCAGCTGTCCTCTGAGATAATGCGTGTTGTCAGTCGAAAATTTCCACAACTATTTTGATTTATATTTAGCCTACATTATCCGTCGTAGTTCATGACTAGAACTTCAACCATAAATTTCGTGTTTTTAACGTTGTCATCTACTAGTCGACTGCAGCAAGTTGTAAAATTTTTCTGCCATACCATATATCCGAATGACTGTTTGGTGATGTCGATTGATAAACACCGGAAAATTGTAAAGGTGTTTACCCCCTGCAAGATCCTAACACTGTCCCTCAAGTCACCTCAAATTTTATAAAACATTTTTCGTGATTGGTGTGGGTCATACATGTTGTTCTGCAGGAAGAACGAAAAGCCCGTCGTCATATAAAGCAGAATAATTGCTAGACGGCCGGGAACTGGTACAACTCGAGTACCATATGAAAGAGGAAGGAAAGACCTGACAAACGTTGGGAACCTAAGGTAATTTAATTTCGGACGGTAGCCTGCCAGCCACGGAGCGTATACAATAGGAGGTTTATATTATTGTATCTCAAAACTATGCGGCTTGTGCAAGCTTCATTCTGGCTTCTGATAGTCAGCTAAAAATGCTGAGTATTACCGCCATAGAGTAAAAGCTTATTCTTGGTGAATCACTAGACAAAAACCTAATAAGTACACTAGTACGACTCAGGCCGTGGGTGTCCTCGGTTATGCTGATATTTGACTGCTGGCCACAAGTCGGTGCAAAAAGGCTCTCTGTGTGATTTGTCCCTACACTGCACAGACTCTGAGAGACTACCGGAGAGGTGGAAGAGAAGTTGTAGTGGACCTAGCAGCTAGGTAAGTATATACACACAATTAAAAGGACAGAACAGGTAATAACAAATACGTATATATAAGATACTCAGTTCACTTAAGTTAATATACACAAAAAAGACTGAGGTTATTTGAAGAAAAACTATAACAGTCACAAAATACACAAATTATAGACGTACGAAATTATAGGAATGTAATTGTCCTCTTCTTGATTATACAAACCCTCCACTACAACTTAGAGCTGTCAACCGTCGGAAGTCTCCGCGATATTATAAGATGGCTTTAAAATTTTTGGGAAACGATGCAGTAATGTAGAAAACATGCAGTCATCTGGCTTCTCGATGCATATGTTATAAACAGAGTAGTTTGAGATGATTCCGTGAACTTGAAGCTGGGTGCAGTTATCAATCAGCTTTTTCTTGTTGACATCAACCAGCAGATTGAAATTGCTTAAAAAATCAGCACCCAATATGGCATGACTAACATCAGCTACTATGAATATCCATGTAAATCGACGACGTAAACCAAGATCCAAAATAAGTGATTGTTCACCGTAAGTCCGTATGCTAGTTTGGTTAGCTGCTCGAAGTGAGAGTTTTGCAGCTGTGCTAGAAGATCGCCTGGAGAATGAAGGAGGTATTACACTAACTTCGGCTCATGTGTCTACCAGGAATAATGTGCCTGTGGTTTTGTCCTTCACGTAGAAAAGGCGACTTGAATGGTTGCCGGTAACAGCTGTCGCCCTGACTGTCTGGTTGAGACGTTTCCCCTGAGCCTGATTCTCTTTACTAAAGATGCACGGTCTGACACATTTCAAGGCATGACGTCCAAACTTCCTATGATACCAACATATATTACTGTCCCTAGAAGACATGCGGGACCTATGTCGGGAGAGAGATCGTCTATGTGATTGTGACCGTGCTTGTGAACTCCGCCTCTCGACTCGTCGATCAGATCTATGTGTTTCCAACTTGTTAAGCCTTGCCACTAAGTCTGCAATGGCGGTGAGTATTGGTGACGACATTATAGGTGTGAGAATATTGATACAAAGGGGAATACAAATATGAGACCACCAACAAAAACTTGCAATGAAAGTACAAAATAGCAAAAATAAGTATAGAGATACGTGAAAACAATCCGCGTTCCAAAACGGGCTCACCAATTAAGTGTAGTGGACCTAGTAGCTAGGTAAGTATATACACACAATTAAAAGACAGAAGTAATAACAAATGCGTATATATCAGATATTCAGTTCACTTAAGTTAATATACACAAAAGGACTGAGGTTATTTGAAGAAAAACTATAACAGTCACAAAATGCACAAATTATAGACGTACGAAATTATTGGAATGTAATTGTTCTTCTCAAATATTACTGATCAAGTAGGATGTAACAGTGCGAACACTGTAGAGTGCTGGCGAGCACCAGAGAGAACGACGATTCGTCTGGGGGTTCAAGTTTAGATGAATTCCTTCTTTTCGTGAATATATTGATATGTTTTCAAAGTATCCTATAACCAAGAGAAGAGACAATAAGCTATAGGCCCGCAGCGCTACAACCACCAATATCAGAAATATGCGAAGCTTTGCGTGTTGATTATACCAAGCAACACCTTTCAGCGGTAGGTTATTCTTCAAATTTATTAGCTACAGTATTCATCACTGAAAAGTGGATACTGAACCTCACTTTTCAAGTTGACTTTTTAGGCCGAAGGTTCACGGTCAAGCACACACGCCATTTGGCACGCCGTTGTCCTACGTTCGTCCATTCGTTCGCGCGCGATCACTATGTAGTTAAGCAACCAACCTCACACAATGATTTGATCCCAAGATATACTTCGTAATTTGAATGATCAATTCCAGTGTTTTGCTTTGTCTTCGTTCCACGCCGAACAAACACTGTGGAATTTGCGGGTATTAGATCTTGCCTTAGTATAGATTGTACCATCCGTGAACGTCAACACCCTCAGGCTCTAAGACCTCGACAACACCAACACACCCCATGGAGAGCAACACGGTTTCTTGATAGGTGAGTTCTGTTCGGTGAACCTATGGCTAGCATGGAGCGTCTTGTCATCAAACTGCGATAGCCATATTACAGTCTCAGTACTAAGACATTTGACACCGTTCACCATGACGCTCTTCTTGATAATTCGGGCAGTCTGCTTCTCTCATAGCTGCTGGCTTTTTAGATAAAAGGCACTTCAGTACCAAAGTGCGAAGTATCTGATTTGGGCACAATTCAGCCACAAAATTATATTAGAGATCATTATTTGGGTGATGACAGCTTCAATTTACATCATTTCCCTACTGTGTCATCTGAACCGTCTGGTTGTTCTTTTCATCCATAACACTGAAGTTCAGAGAACGGCGAAATGTTTGAAATGCACAGAAGAGTTGCAGATGGACCTATAAGGCCTATAAACCTAGGTCCATGTCAATGAAATGTCTCTCAGTTTCCAAGGGGTGCATCAGCATGACTGATTTCTCCGTCTGACAAAGAAACTACATTCAGATGTTAATTACTCGAATGGCGTATCCATGGCATATGCAGTAATACACTTCACGCGTAGGCAGCCAGGTACTCTCACAGCAGAGGTTTTAGTAGCATTACAGAACCTATGTACGGACAATAAACGAGGTGCATAATATCACTGCTACGCTATCATTTTTGGAGGGATGAGCCTTGGGAACAACGCATATGATGAAAGGCTGAGGAAAACAGATCCTTCTACACTTAGCCACTGTTGGCTTAAGTTTGACCTAATCACTGTTTACAAGAATAAAAATGCTCAGGATCACCCGAACAAGGGGTTAGGTAACTGAAGAATAACTGGTGGCAACATACAAAGCATAGAGCGTCATAAGGTGAAGAATGGAGTGACCTTACGTCTCCCTCCATCTTTAGGTTACTGTCACCTGAAATATTTAGTAGCAGCTGTGACTACTTCATCTTTGCTGGAAGGCTACAGGCGGAGGGCGGATAATCACACGGTAACACAAGGACTATAGTCAATGGACTGTTCCCTAGACCAAAATCAGATGTAACTCTTCCGTACCACATTTCGTCAAGCAGTCTTGGCTGAATTCGTTTTCGACTACCGCACAAACTCTTAAGTCTCAATGGTCAACCTACTCTCCCATCCATTCGTTTACTTTATAATTTCCTCTTTGCCTTTCCGTTTTTCTTCTTAAATTTAGATATTTGCCATTAATTACACCATTATTATTGCAACGCAGGGTGACTAATAAGAGCTGAAAAGACTGACGCTGGTTGCAACATTACCGCAGTCTTAACACACCACATAATAAAAATCACATATAACCCACACTCAGACCAATACCTCGAGGCCTTTCAAGGTTACATCAGGTGAGTGGCGAGTGAAACCACGCAGGGGCTCACTGAAAGCAACCATTCTTCAACTCACAATCAAGAAGTGAGCTAAAAGAAATCAGCTTGGTTTATATTAACTCATTGGCGCGTCTTTAGACATTGTCGTTACGAATTGGAATATGCCGAAGTAAGTATCGTTTAAAGCACATATATGTGGAATCTAGGTATTACTGCGACTATTGTGATACATATCTGACTCATGATTCTCCGTCTGTGCGAAAAACCCATTGTGGGGGGAGAAATCACAAGGATAATGTGAAGGAGTATTATCAGAAATGGTTAGAGGAACAGGTTCAGAGGCTTGTGGACCATACTTGTAAGTTGCTTTACTATTACGTTACTCTGATGCGTTTTAGCGGAGGCCTATAAACAAGGTAAAATGCCACCTCCATTGTTTGGTGCTCCGGCAGGAATGCCCCCTCCAGGACTTGGTTATCCTCCGAGATATCCTCCTATTATCGGTGTCCCCGCTGGATTCAGACCACCTCATCCCTTAGTCCCTCCACAAGGAATGATGCTCCCTCCAAGGCCGCAAGTTCCGTGGCCGCAGCCAGGAGTTGTCATGCCACCAACCTACGGTGCACCACCACAGTAACCATGTAGACATTGACATTCCAGCCTTATTGTTTTAATTAAAATTGTGACCATTTAACTTTCATGCTTTCTGAAAAGTCTTCATAGTTTTTCACTTTCCCTGATTACGTGTCGGAAAGACTTAACAATCTGCTCTTTACATCTTGATGGCTATTGTGGTCCTCACATATTTCAAGTTCTTCGATAATATGACTATCGTTATATGCGTTTTTCTCTATGACTTCTGTTTCAAAATGGTAATAAACATCGTAAAAGGTAACAGAAAATATTGCAAGCTTACGCGACAGGCCTATCATTGAGACCTCGTTATTTCTGTTGTCTCTATGATCAAATTAGGTGAATAAACTATTTTTACAAAGTGATTAATTCTTTTCACCCGTGCTTATATAACAGCAAGGCGGATATTTATATTCAGGGACTGGACTATCGACATGATTTCATTTGAACTTAATATTTCGAAGTAAGGTTTATTTTATGGTAAATCTAGCCTTGAGTGGCATTACCAATTTTGTATCTAACTAGTGTTTTCATTGCATCAGCGTAATACTAGCCGGAGATTGTTATTAATAGTCTTACTTTACCCCAATAAATATGAAATAAGTCCTGTCTTACAACGAAAACTGAGTAGTTTAGATTGTTCCTGTTAAAAGCTTGTTCTTGAACTGCAGGGATCTTCACTTGTCACTGTTCGATGTCCACTGTTATTATCATTCATGAAAGCTTATATTGCAGCTGTGAACTTTCTACTATATGGTATTTGGCCCTTATAAAACAGGATGTGGTCTATGCATATGGGGTTAGGATGTTTCTTCATAACTCGGTGGAATGCGTTTCTTAGGAAGGATGAATGTATGCTATTTTTTGAGTTCTAATTTGAGAACCTTGTCTGGCTACCTACTAACACGCGACATCACAAATTCGTGTTTGTAAAGCGATCACAAGCTAGAGTAACTGAAAAGAGAGATACTAAGGCGGTGAAAAGTTGAAAACAACAGGAAGACATGAAAAGACCAGCTGTTTTTGATCATAGGTGCCTGCGTTCTATCTCCCGTGTGAAATGGTATAATAGGGTGAGCAATATTGAGGTTAGGCGTCGAATGCTAGGTAAGGAAGGGAAATCAATCGACGAGGCTGTGAAGTTACATCGACTGAGATGGTTAAGACATGTGTCACATATGCCTAGCCATCGCCTTCCTCGACGGGCAATGTTGGCTGACATAGGGTCAGGCTGGAAAAGAACTAGCCACGGTCAAACCAAAACATGACACCAGTCAATGGAATCCACAACAGTTAGTTTAAGCCACGTAGGAAGATGTGGACTTCCTGGATGGGGTCCTCGGGACGGTAAAAACCAATGGCTGGAGACAGTTGGTGATATGGCTCAATGTGATCTTATGGGCAGATGCATCCACTACTTGCGACTTATAATACCCAATGAAACTATATTGTTCTTCGTTATTACTATTCCTTTTTTGTCATATCCCTGTTTACTGTCTATTTTGCGTTTCATTTTACTTTCTTCCCCTGCTTTGTGTGCTACATGGAGTGTGGCGACTTGAACTGCTGCACATCGGTGCAAAACAGACAGACAGAATGCTGTACACATACATAAACCTAATTTTAAAACGTTTGTACTGCATCACCTTTCGTTTCGGGATACCCATTTACTTCAAACCACTTGGTTAATAAATGTTTAAGAATCCTATCTAGCCATGTAGGCCTAATGTGTATTTGAACAAGAATTCAGAGCAATGCCAGTCAAAATAAGGTGCAGTCTCTGTAATTTATGGTGGATTTCTGCTGCAACCTTAAAACGTCTCACTTCCAGACAATTAAGGGTTGTAACCTAATACGAATGTTCAAATTAATGCACTGAATGTCGTAATGGATTGTAGATACCAATGTCTGTGCTCATGGCTGTCGAACTCTTGCAGTTGATGTTATTGCATTCTGCATCTTGTTATAGGGAATGGTTACATTTATTATGCTGAGTATTGAACTCTGCTTCATTTCACTTGCATTACGCTCTTCGGCAATTTGAAAATTCGTAGCTACAGTTCTATATTATTGCACTTGCTTTTTCTGCCTAGTGCTTTTCAGAATCAAAATCTAGTCCACCAATGCAGTCATTTACTAGATATTGACATATCTCGATATTTATAAACTTACGGACGTGTGTTGCTGCTTGGCTTCCTTATTTACCAAATACTAATAAATCCTGGTTCCCAGTCAGAACTGTTAATGTCATTTAAATGCTTCAGTCCAATATTCAGATACCAAAGGTCATCAGGTTGTGTGATATTTTGAAAAATGCAGCATAAGCTAGCCATCAGAGCTACTAGTAGTTGACTGTATAGTCAGTCGACATGCATTACTCATGGTTACTTTAGGTAAGGTAATTGATGAACGTAGTCACCTAGTAAAAATGAGAACTTAGATATTTTAGGATTCTAAATGTATTAATAGGAACCGTAGAGATTGTATTTCAGACTTTTGCATTCAGCACGTCTTACACTCGAAACAAGTCTCCGTCTTCTATCCTGTTATTAACTCGATAATATTTAGACATAAAGCGACTGGCATGAACGTGAAACTCTTTACCCAGTAACCATTTTATATATTCACTCACTTCAGAAGTAAGTTTCATTGCAGACAATAAGGTCATTATTCTTCGAAAAACTTCTCAAGCCTAGTGTTTCTGTTTTATATACTGGTAACAGTTTAGTTTATGTGAATTCTGATCAAGATACGACTGAATAGTTCCACAAAAGTTGGGTGCCGAATGAAAAGTAGACATAAGGTAAACTGTTTCGCTGGATATTGCTTATCGTGGTAATTGAAAATTTATAATGCAATTCTTGTTAAACTTGCTTGGTTCCGTGTACAAATTAATGCGAAAATTATTACCTAATTCAACTATAAAATAGTACAGTTTCATGAGTTCAACTATGCGATGACTTAACCGAGTTAAGACAACTTTTCACTTAATAATAAAAAGTAGGTTAAATATACTTTAAAAAGCTAAATTATGGATAATATGCAGTTTTATTAAATTAGGGTTGTTATAAAAGAAACAAGTATTAGACTCTGAAATATAAATAAGAAAATTGAATGGTTTTGCGAGTACATAATTCTTCAAATAAGTATTAGTTGTAATCATATTCAGGCAGCAGAACAGCAACTGATGACATTTTCAACCGTGAGATAAGAATTGTGACGAACAACAATTCCTCTTCTGTTTATCACTTTTGTAAAGAGTCCAGTAAAGAACCAAGCATCAAATCTTCAGAAGTTATAGCAGCGTCAAAATATTCATCTTCACAAACTGATTACCGTAATCTGTTGAATGACTCGTTTCGTTAGATGTAGTAGGATTAGAAAGAAACTCAAGTGGTATAGGCATACCTGTTGTAAAACACAAGTAGAAAAGCATTATGGTTGATATTTAGTTAGGCAGCGGTGTAACTAAATATATTAGAAATCACACGGCGAAATCGTTAATTGAAATGAATTCGAGAATCAGAGGGAGAGATCACAAATTTCCCACCTACACAAAAGAACTGGACGTAGGGTGAGTCACTGGCATCAACAAAACTCAAAGTAAACATATTATGGTATACAGACGGAATAATAGTCTGGCACTGGGAAAAAATCTTTGCCAATTTAGTAGCATTTGTATTACCTTTGATTCGGAATTTTTACTTCACGAAGATGAGAGTTTATTTTGTTACAGTGGATAAATACGAGCACGCAGTGAATTAACCATCAGATCGTGATAATCAATTTATCGCGAGCTTAGAGCGTACTCATTATTTGATCCAACAAACACCTTTTTGGACAGTCGTTGTTAGTGAGCTCAATACTTCCTGAGGCTAAAATAGTGTAGGATACGAAACGGTTCCAACCTAGACGTCGCAAATCATAGTCTTAATTGTTTAACGTTGTAGCAGACTACTAATGCATAAAACATTAAGTGAAAATTGGAATTTTAGGTCGAACAGTCGCAGCTGCTTATCTTTTAGAGGTTGGTGATTCGTGCGCGTAAACGGATTCTCAAAAGTGGAAAAACTATATGCAAAACAGTAAATTCTTATGGCAGGCTGAGGTAATCAAAAAAAAGTTATGGACTTAGTGTTTGTGTTTATCTGAACTTACCAGATAATCTGGGATCTCCAGCGTGAAAGTGCGTTAAAAACTCACCAAATAACCTATTTTAGACAACCTCTAATTTCACGTAGGACTGGATGATACATACGGATTAGTTACCAGATTACGAGCCGATTGAAATCTACCTTCTTTTCTTCAGGGCTTTCTTATTAGTTCACTTTTCATGTCTATATCCAATATAAAAAGTAATCGTCTCACTGAATTTACAGACTTCAACTGTCATCACCGGCCGACACTGAACTAGATAGCTATATCGATTACCACGCGGTAACCAACTCGCAGTAATAAGTCAATTACATCTTTGAATACAGTAGTGAAATGAACAGAGATGACATTTGATGCATTTTTGATCATTCGCGCTGAAGCAGACGACTAGCACGATCAGTACATTTTCATATTATGCATATCTGCAAAAATGATAATGCGTTCGCCTAAACACAAACTGATTTATTCAACAGTTTTAGGTATGAAAATTACAGTCGGACAATACACAACAGAGAAACTCCCCTCAAATGTATTAAGCTATACACACGCATAAAAACAAATTGTGCAGATAGATCAACACAGAATTTCCAACAGTAGGTCAGCCCTTCAAGTTGCAATACGGACAAAAACATTACAAAATTAAGATATCCATTGTGACTAATATTGATTAATCACAGTCTCGTATCAATAGGAAACGGTTAAAGTTACTTACTGGGTGAACGAAAATCTACCAGTCGACAATCAGGATCTAAGCATTTTTGGTAATAACAACCATTCACAAGATCGAAGATTAGGCTGAAAAGTGAATTAATACAAATCAGGGTGTATAAATCATGAAGGTGTTTTACCACTACTACTGGCCTTCCTTAATCTTATCACAATATTAATAACGATGTATATCACTTGTGGAATAGGAATAAAGTGAAATACGAAGCTTTATTACATCTAATGATTCAAATTGGAAGCTGAAAATTTGACAGACTAAGTATCCCTTGAAACATGATTACAGTAGTACAATTGCATCTTCGTGGTTTGTTCACCTGGAACTATTTTTTCAAAGACGCCTTAGTACCACTTCGAAATTAATCAGGTATTCAGTGTGAACGTCGTCTATCGCAAAGCACATCATAGAGACGCGTCAAAAGGTTGATTTCAATAGTTGCTGAACACCTTGAGCAATAATCTTCGTATGTTTGGCATGTGATTCGCCCCTGTAAAATGTAAGATGATGCTGCAGGATTGGACTTCACCGACCCCTAGATTAGAAATAGGAAGTGAAGTGGTAGAGCACGTTGACCGCTTCACTTACTTGGGAAGTACCATCAGCCCCAACGGGTTGATCTTCGACGAAATCTCAGCACGAATACAGAGGGCTAGTTTCGCATATGCCAGTTTACGCCGTCTCTGGCGTAGACGCGATATCCGACTATCGACCAAAGGGCGTGTGTACTGCTCAACAGTCCGCTCCGTCCTCTTTTATGGCTGTGAGACCTGGTCATTGAGAGTGGAAGACATGAAAAGATTAGCTGTCTTTGATCATAGGTGTCTGCGTTCTATCTCCCACGTGAAGTGGTATAATAAGGTGAGCAATATTGAGGTTAGGCGTCAGTCGAGTGCTAGGTTAGGAGGGGAAATCAGTCGACGAGACTGTGAAATTACATCGACTGAGATGGTTAGGACATGTGTTACGCATGGTAGCCTAGTCATCGCCTTCCTCGACGGGCAATGTTAGCTGATATAGGGTCAGGCTGGAAAAGAGCTGGCGGCGGTCAAACCAAAACATGGCACCAGTCAATGAAACCTACAACAGTTAGTCTAGGCCACGTAGGAAGGTGTAGACTTCCTGGTTGGGGTCCTCGGGATGGTAAGAAACAATGGTTGGAAACAATTGGTGGCATGGCTGAAAATCGTTCTCAATGGCGCAGATGCATTCACTCCTTGTGACTTATGATTTCCAATGAAACTGTTTTGTTCTTCGTTATTACTATACCTTTGTCTCACACATCTGTTTACTGCCTATATTATGCACTTCTCCTACTTTCTTCTCTTGCTTTGTGTGCTACATGGAGTGTGGCGACTTGAACTGCCGCACATCTGTGCAAAGTTCTATGTCGAAAACCGACCGATCGACCGCCTTTTAATATATATATATATATATATATATATATATATATATATATATATATATATATATGTATAACGAGTTTGAGTCATATACTTAAACTCGTTGAAGTCTTAGAGCCATAAGAAGGCTTAATCCTGTTTTGTGTGTTCAAAAATTATTTCTTATTATATTGAACCTGTTTACTGGTAACCAATTTTAATACAAAGGCTTATTCTACGTAATAATATCTTCACCCCTCTGTTTTCTCACATCTTATCTGTGATCTTGACTCCTAAACATTTTAACCTATATTGATTTAATTTCGTCCCTTTATATAAATATGTATGCCAAGTGTGTGATCAGAATTTCAAAAATGTATTGTGCTAATACGGCACATTTTTTAAGATAAGTTACTTCTATTTATTGCTTTATCCTTAATACCTAATTAAAACTGTTTACTGCTAAACGATCTTATCAAACATTCTGTATTAGCTACACTGGTCTCTACTAATCCATGCTGAGGAGTTATAATGTATTTTTGAATAGAATAAGGAAAGCATTGCTTCGAAATTAGAAAATAAACACTACAACAAGATAGAAGGTGACATCTTGAGTCAAAAAGCATCGCATACACCTGCAGAAAGCTTCGCCAACAGGTTGGAAACAATCGAAAATAATAAATTCGAATAAACATCAGTAGGGTAACATTGTTATAAAACGTAGCATACAAATACACAGCTTACATAATATGATTACTTTTATGTGCACGACCGATTCTTTCGCAGTAACGCAATTTTTCAACTTTAATAGAGAATTTCCCTTCACTAAGAGAAGTGATTTTCATTTGATTATCAGAAATACACAAAGCAGTATTACTGGCAGTTTGAACAGTAGTCAATCCCCGACTAAACCATTCCGCTATGACATTTTTTACGAAAGCATGGAAATTTGTTGGCAATGAATGGCATACATGATCAGTGCTTTTGTTCAGAAATGTATCTAGGTCTGGATCAAACGAGGATTTGACAGAAAGAGAACCAGTAAATGAAGAGTTGCCACAGCAACAATTTTCCACTGGACGGTTTAAAAGATGAGAGCTGTATAAAAGTAAATTTCCATTATTCAAATGATTATTAATAAGTTTAAAAAGAAATGAGTACCATGAACAACAAACACATTCTATATTGATATGATTATGAACAATAAATTGTGTTCGAAAAGTCATCCAGTAAGTAATACTGATCAACGTCGACGGAGTAGTTCGTTGTTGTCCACAACTCCCACAGCTTCTTTCTTCCCGTTGAATTCCTAAAGTATCTAGTGGGGAACTGCTGGTTGTTTTGGTTCTATCAGGAGGCACTCGCTGTCACAGTTGGTTATTGCGTCGACGTCCCTCTCACAACTGTGACAACCTACATGACATCACCACATTCACTGTTAGTCAATTCTTCTGTCCATTTACTGTATACTGCTCTGTAGCATGTAGGTTTTCCAACTTAGAAAGATCTTGAAGCAATAAGCTACTCAGCTGCAGGTGTCTTAGGCACTGACGTGTCTTGTTTTGTCTTACACTTTGTATTACGATAATAACTGAAATTCAGATAGACAGGATTCATAAGTTACCAATGCTATTATTGTATATATACCTCAAAGGCTAAGGGTATGAATCATGTTGCTAGGCTACTAAAATACATTAGATTACATGTCTCCAAATTCTATTTCATGTGTAATCCTTTGTATTTTGAACGAATCAGTAACATTTCTTAAACTGTCAGCCTTCCTAAAGCATACTCAGGTACACAGAATTAAGAAATATGTAGTTGGTTATAGTCATATAAGTAGAAATAATTAAGAGAATTAAAATAACGAATTAGGTTATTACATGCACCTGTATAAATAAAAATATCATACTAAAAATAAACTTTTCATAATACCCAATTTGTTCAGGATAGTCATAAGGATAATAAATAAAAAATATTACATAGGTGAGTAAATAAATTATTTATAATGGGAAATTAAGTTGCCAGGGTAATTGAAGTCTTTTGACCAGTTCCTTTTGAACACATAAGTGAAGACTCAGATGACTGATTGATTGCCATAGAGTCGGCGCAACAGGGTGTACGCGGGTGAAGAGGACCAACGAAATAAAGGAAATTTATTATATGTTAGCACATATTAAATGGAAAAAATGAAATGGCAGTTAGGAATGAGTGACACACTGTGTAAGGGATAGTAGTACTATATGGCTGCCCAAACCCCAACAGGTGGGGAGGGGTTGGAACTCGTCCCTCCTATTTCCTTGACTCTTCACCAAACACAGGATCTAATCATCACCTCCCAGGTGTCTAAAATCAACATTTTGTGCAGTTTTTTTTAGTTGGAAGTCTTCATGCGCATAAATCAATGAGCCACAATCCCAACGCCTTAAGTAAATTAGCTGCGTTACTGTGAATCTTAACATACCACATAAAATGAGTAAAAACAACTCACCATTTGTTATCAATATAGGTAACAAGTGTAAGCGCCCATGATCGCCAATTTGGCCATATACTTGAAAATTCTGCACTTTTATCCGCTACATTATAAGGCAGTAATAATCCACTACCGGATAGTTTACAGGATCCGGCTAAACGAAAATTTCGATTACGTGTATATACGCCTAAATCACATATACATTTCCATAACTTATTATTATCATTAGACTGAGCATCTTTAGACAGAGCAAAACAATTTTTAGCATCTTGTTCGGTAAAACCAATTTCTGGGAATATAATTTGTGTAATCTGAGAAATTTGCTCTAAACAATGACAACATTCTTCTGTATACGCTAAATCTGTATTCAATAAGCTGTACTGTGATAAACATTTACAAAGTATCCGAATAACTTGACCTATTTCATAAATCGATTTAAGAGAAAAGAGAGAAGAAAAAGTTATTACATAATTAAGAATGAAAATATTAGTGTACATGTTATCCCACTACAAAAAAATTCAAAAATACTTCATTAATAAATAAACTAGAAATGAGCAACTCAGATGACAAGTAGCATTTGCACCAGAGACTTGACCTGAGTTCTGGCTTCCACTCCAGTTAGATTACCATAAAACTGAAGGTGTCTCAGATAGTTTCATCAACAGAAATACTTGGTGATCTTTACTCAGTAATAGTCATGTGACTCAAAGCTCTGTTTAAAAAAATCCATGACTACTGTTGTGGGTAAGCATCTGTGGTTCAGCGGTAGAACGCTCGCCAACCACGTCCCACGTGGTCCGGGATTCGATCCCCGGCCGGCGCACTCCTAAACCCCGCTAAACCGGTAGTAAGACCGGTAAGGAGGGAAGATTGGGCGTGAACCTAGCAACCCCACCTTGGGTTTTAGTTACAAAAAACGGGATGCACTTCCGTTCGGAGAGGATGGAGAAGAGTATCGTTGAAGACATTTAAAGACTACACCCTGTCATTCATGTTCTAATGGTATTGCAGAGAACTTCGTTACAATACTCTGTGAAACATTGAACTGCGCAAAGCTGAGTACATTTGTAGCACTCAAAAGCTTTGTAGATAACATCTTGCTGCAGTATAATACTATAAAAGATAGTACAGTTATGCTTTTTAAAAATCGACAACTAAGAGCTTAGCTTCGATGTTTGCATATTTCTGCATTAATATTCATCAAAGGTAAAGAGTGCGTTCCTGATAAGCGTGTAACCATGAAAGCTACTGAAAACCGAATAGTGGAAAATGTTGATTTAGATGACAGTTCGCTACATCGTGATTGAAAAAGATTTTAACGGATCTGATCGAAAATCGTATATGTTCTACAACACAACCTACCTTTATGCAAAGTAGTTACTTACCTTGTTCTAAATTTGTTTGAAACAAAAGGTTGGCATTATTGATTATAATATGCTGACTGAATTTCTTTGAGGTGCTATAGATGCATGTATTTTAATTTGACAAAAGAAAAAATGAGACAATATATAGAGTAAACCGATAAATAACTCAAATATCCTATTTTTTATTATTTTATTTTCAAAGATGGAATACTTTAAACAAAAAGTTCTTGTTTCGATTCTACTGAGCTTGTAGGACAGTAATAAAAACTAGGATAAATCATTGAATAACGACTGAGATGCCTTTAGATGCGTGGGGCCACATGCATCTAAAGTGATGGTACCAGGGGCTAGGAATTTGAATCAAAAAGGTTGGACGAACTGTTTCATCATCGTCAAGAGTGAGATAGGGGCTTGAGATTATTAATCGATGTGAGTGAGGAATTCTCGCTAAGTGCAAGTCATAAACTTTCGCGGATTTTATCCCTGCGCTTTATACACACCACCCATCGCTACTACGGATCCAATGGTTTAGCGAAGCCATCGGATTGGTACTGTTGCAGTTGCTCAACCGTTCTACTGAAGCCGAGAAAGCTACCTAACCTCACGGCTTAGAAAAAGTAAAAGTCGTAAGGAAAGTTTACGTAGCTGAACCTGTGGAAGGATCATTACCAGACGTCACTACATCTATCCATACAATACACAATAAGTGAGATTATACGCAATATAAGGTAAGGAGAAAAATTCAGTAATACGGGTGTATGAAGTCAGGGTATGCTCCTAGACATAACAGAAACTAATGATTAGAGACTATATATGATTTGTCTCACAACTGTTCACAATGGTGCAGATGAATTCAGCATTTACTGTGATTTTTAAAAAATGTACAATTGCGCCAATCTTCAAAGTGTGACACTCTGAGGAAGATTCAATCAGACACCACCGGAACATTTCGCAGGTTGATAAATATGGCAGTTATCAAGTGTTGGTTTGCAGGGATTTGATCGGGTACAGGTTTGATCACAAGTTGATATCAGAGAACTATTGGAAAACTTAGGAGTACTAATGCCCACTAGCGACTGGAGCTATACAGGAAGTTGCCTAGAGTGCCAATGAGAAGTCGTAACCAGCGGGGTCCATCGAGTCAGGTAAGAGAACAGTTAGTCGCCTATGACGGTGGCTGTATATAATAAAATAATAATATCCCTTTATTCCACAACAATAACAATTTACAGTATGGAATTTTCAGCGTTTCTTTCATATTGCATGTTCTTTATAATGTTAAAATATTGATAGTTAACAGGAAAAAATAAAACCCCAACAAAATCACACCATTGCTAGGTCATAGTGAATAATAAATAAATAATATAACAAATAACACATGCATTAATATGCATCATTACATTTTATAGTTTAGTTAATGATTTAAAGTTGTAGAAGTTTTGAATTCATTTTTTTAACAGAATGTTATGATTTCTGGTCTACCGAAGAGATACAAGGAAAGTATATATATGTATATATATATACATATATATATATACATATATATATATATACATATATATATATATTTCATTAGCCATTGGATAGGGTCCCAGTGTCTGAATGATCTACGAGCTCGCCTTATAACCGGGATGTCTTGGGTTCGAACCCAGGTGGGCGCGTACTGGTGAAGAGTCCCCAACTAGGACGAAACAGCTATCCAGTACTTCCTGGTTTCCAACGGTTCTCTAAGTGTTGTCAACTAGTGATCGAACCCATAACAGACATGGCAATTGTATGGTGCTGACAAATATACTTGGATTCCGCAACTTTTCGATAAGTGAAGATCTGAATATGACTTATGAACTAAGTTGTTAGCCACAAATTACGCATAAATATATTCGTACTCCGTGATTTGAAGTCTCTGACTTTGCTATCACGTAAAATTTGATACTTTTTACATTGAATGTCTTTAAGAGAGTTAAGATTTTTGGACATGCAGAGAATTTCTACAATTTCAGTAGATGTGTTACTTAATTTTGCTTAATTAAAATCTAGAAATGCATAACATTTATTCACGTCGGTATCAACCTTCAAATTCAGAAGTTTCGATCAGCGCGCTTTCAGTCTTAAAGAGAAAACTAACTGATATTTAAATATGTTTGTTATACTCCGTTTGAAATGGTCTTCACAATGTAATAAACTGTTAGTGCAACACAACGAACCGACCCACATGCTTATGTATCAGGTCACAGGCGGCACTAAATTCTACCCAATTATTCAGGCTAAAGCATATGGAGTGTTGTTGAATTCAGAATGCAGTAGCCAAAAGCCAGATATACTTGAAACAAATAAACAGTATCACCATGATATATTAAATGCCAGTGATGGATAGTGAATAACCACCTATTTGTACTACTCACAGGAACCTAAACAAAAAGACGATCATATTTAAAGCATACAAGCTAAGAAAATATAGAACATTCGACATTGGTGAAAGTGTTTACACCACTTGCTGAAGAGTATTTTTCACTAACCTCGCATCTAAAGTAAGCACTTCATTGAGGCTAATTTTTATCCCATAGAAAAATTCGATACAACCAAACAAAGCCTGGATAAACAGTTTAAAAATTAAAACAAAAGCAAATAAGTAGCTTAGATGAGAAGAAATGTTTTACAGTTGAAATAAATAACATTATATTTCGCTTCATACCTTGAGTAAAGCTGATTTGCTTCATAATACATACAGTATAAAATGTTCATACATAACTATGTTTTTTTTTCCTTCACGTTCTCCAGTGGAACATAGGGCTTCAAGCTAGAGTCTTGAAGTTTCTGTAACAGTGTTTATTTTACAGGATGGGGTTGCCAGCCTCATGCCCAACCTTTCCTCTTCACCAGCATTATTTCTGGCTCAGCGAGGTAAAGGAGTGCGTCGGCCGGGGATCGAACCCCGGACCATGTGCGTGGTCGGCGAGCGTCCTAACCGCTATGCCACCGACGCACATAACTATGTACAGTAATGAAATTTACGAATTCAGAATAACCTTAATTCTTTTATATTTATCACCTATGAATTTCAGTATACAACGGAAAGAAGCTTCTAGAAGAGTAAAACAAACCTACACATACGCTCCATGTTTGGTTAACATACTGCCTAAACTTTACTGCAGGGATATTAGAGTCGACTTGTTAATAAAACAAAATTACTCTAGATAAGAACGTTAAAAATCCAACCAGGATAAAAAAAGACTTACTTTCAAAAAGCTACTCACAGCTTCCTCCCCGTTTTTATTTTCATTGGACAGCTTACAAAATTCTAAATCCAAATATAATTTAGCCGGTGTGTCTAAAATAAATATATTTAAAGAGATATAAGACGAAGGTGATAGCAAAATTACATTCAAAAGACAATATTGAAATTAATTCCTGACATTCAACATAACGTTTAAATAAGAAGGACGATGAAGATGATGAGGTATGTGATTAACCCTGGATAACATCTCTCAGAAGCCTCACTTAATGATACCAAAAATTCACGGGATTTGAATAGAAAAGTATGTTGGATAAAAGGATTAAAATGACAGAAATCCAAGGACACAAAACTGATGTATTAAGGCAGCTGACATCCACAGAAAGCTGATGTGAACAGACTTTAAGAGTCATGACACTCGTTGATGCTAGTCATCAACGATTTCTTTCACATCACTCAAAATGACCTTGATTCTTTGATTCTTGATATGCAGACGATTAATTAATACAGTTCCAAATATGAAGAGTCTCCAAATCATTTAAATTAGGGAAAATTCCTTCATCACGAAATAAAAATACTTAAAGAATCTTTACTTATTTTCGTCTTTTCATAAGCTGATTATTTTAAGACTGATTATTAGATATTAAAGTCATCCGATTGTCTCCACACGAAACTAAACGTTTACCAGAAGTTTCGTATAAAAAATGTTACATTCTTACTCTGACGATGCATCGGTGGTTCAGTGGTAGAACACCAACCAACTAAGTAAGTGATCCGGAGTTCGATCCCCGACCGACGCACTCCTTAACCTCGTTTAGCCGACAGTAAGCACGGTAAAGAGGGAAGGGTGGTTGTGAGGCTAGCAGCAACCTCATCCAGTAAAAATAAAACCACTGCTACTGAAACTTCAAAAACGCTGGACTGAAGCGTTATGTTCCACTCGGAAAGCAAAAGAATAAAAAAACTCTGATGATATAATTATTCCTGGGTTCGAACCCCAGTGGGCGCGTATTGCTGAGGAGCCCCAAACTAGGACGAAACAGCCATCCAGTATTCGCAGGTTTTCCAATGGTCATCTGACTGATGTCAGTTTATGACGAAATCCTGAAACGAATAAAATATTTTAGAATATGAAAAAAAAATTGTAAAGGAAGCAACCGTGCATAAACTCACCTACCATGATCACTTCATAGTGACACCGAGAAGAAGGATCCATTTGCCTAATTAAAATATTAAAAACAATGCTATAAAATACAACAAGTACCTTAAAGATATTAATCACACTTAAGATAATTGTGTAATTTAGCAGACAACCATGATATCAACTACATACCAAACATGTAAAGCAAGGCAATACTAGTTGGCACTTAAACCGATATTGCGAGCTATGTACATCGGTTAGTTCATATCAAACACATGAATAAACGAAATTTGTGACTGATAGATGGATTATTTTATTTGACAATTCACTAGTGAAGAAACTTTATTTGAAACTAAAGATATACATCCTCCCACCATCCTTTAAAACTAAAAAATTTAACAGATTTGCGGCAAACATAAATAGTACGTACGCCTAGATATGGGAATGAGTTGTTGAAGAAAAGTATTACTAAGTTTCGCAATATTTTATGAGTAATCAAACTGAATTTATGAATAGAGTTTGCACAATTCAACAGGGCCTCACTTATTGATTATACAGTAACAAGTGACGCTGGTTATTTTTTTATACTCTAAGTGTACCCCGTCATATTTTCATGCATCTAAATGACTACAAAGTGTGTGAATACAACACTTTCACTATGATTTTTGTTCTTTTGACGTCAATAAATGTGAGAAAAACTGAAGGAGTGTGCTGTACAAAAT